ATTACACTGCAGCAGCAAGAATCTGGAGGAATCATAGGCCCTGAATTGCAGGGAAAGGCCTCACTAGTCCCACACTCGGGCCTGGAGCCTCCTGGGGCCTGACACACCTAGGCGAAGCTGCAACTTTGCCCCTGGGGTTCTGCTTAACATCCTGAAGGGCTGGCCAGAGAGACAATTCATTGGATCTTTTGCAAGCATCCCGGAAAAGACTAGAAAACTTTATTGCTCACCTCCCCAAACTGCAAAGAACAGTGTTTGAAGAAACTCGAGGGGAGGACTTCTGGAGCCCTAGAACTGTCGAGACAGGATGTCGGGCGGCAGGGGCGGAGGTGGCAGCTGCTCCCCAGGGCTCTTTTGCTGACTGCACTGCACAAAATCAGCCTGCTCGCTTCCCCTTGGCTCCATCACCACTTCCCCAAAACCTCTTATTTTTACACAGCTTTAGGTTTGCTGGCCAACAGCAGAGGCTTCCAAAGAACCAGGGCTCAGAGTCATGCCCGAAGGTAGCTCGCCCGCGTGCCCGCTCCTCACCATATTCCCTTCTCTGCCTCTCTGCCGAGCTTCCTCTATGAGGCTGATCTGGAGCCACCAGGATCTTCTTACTCCGGCCTAGTCTTTCCAGCCACTCCAGCTGGAAAGTGGAGCTGGGACTTGCAAGGCCGTAAGTAGAGCTTAGTGCTGGCATAAGGAGAGGTGAAGCCTGGGAAGCCAGGTCAAGGGTCCTTAGCCCCAAATTAGGAGAAACCCTGCCCAGAGAAGGGGACCTGCAATGGGTGCCCAGCCCCCACCTGCCATCCACCCATCCACATGGAGCGTATCCTAAGGTCTCCTACTCCAAGTGGAGGATCTAGAAGAGGGTTCAGCTAATCCTAAAGTTGTTCCATGTTCTAGGCACTCAAAAAAAAAAAAAATGAGGAAGTGTTTGCACTACCTTGAGTCTTAAGCAGTAGTATCAGTTTTAAGCCTCTGAAAAGCGTATTCCCGCGTCCTTGCTGACGCGCTATGCTCAGCAGTGGCCACCAGATGGCAGCACCTTTCCACTGCCAAGAACTTCAAACACAGCCAGCGACCTCAGAGGCTGCAGATAGGCCACTGCCTACATGCACTCCAGTCCCACATAATGATCCAGGACGGTACCAAGTGCAATCCTTTATGACTCAGGAAGGTTGAGAAGCTGCTTTGCCTTTCAGACCCAAAAACAGTATTGGGCCGAACGCCGTGGTTGCATGCCTGTTAATCCCAGCGGCTCTGGAGGCTGAGGCAGGAGGATTGCAAGTTCAAAGCCAGCCTCAGCAACTTAGCGAGGCCCTAAGCAACTCAGTGAGACCTTGTCTCTAAATAAAATGCAAAATAGGGCTGGGGTGTGTCTCAGTGGTTAAGTGCCCCTGAATTCAATCCTCGGTATCAAAACAACAACAACAAACCAGTATTGGTGTTTTGGTTTATAGTGTGCAAAGCTCTTCACACACTCCACCTCATTAAGTTAACAAAACTCCATAATACAGGTAGTAGTAATCACATCTCAGAGAGGGAAACTGAGGCAGAGGTTGAGTGATCCGTTCGGGATTGTACAGCTGATAAGCAGCAGCACCAGGATGGGAGCCCAGGCCCTGGCATCCTGACTTAAGGTGAAGATGGAGGCAATCTGGGAGGGGGTTGCCATTAGGAGGTCTTACTGGAATTTTCAGGAACCTGCCACATGTACCTTATTGTCCCTCCTTTGGCACCCACCAATCTCTGACCTATCTTCTTCCTTCATTGGGCACAGGCCCACTGGTCATTTTTCCTGCCTATCTGGAGCACTTTCTTCTGAGCCCATGATTTCTCTAAATGCCCTTGGGTCTCTTCACCAGCCCCCTGTGGTCTCCCCTCCCAGGCCAGGCTCCTAATCACCCACACTCGGTCTCCTCCAGCCCAGTCAGATGTTACCCACAGTGACAGAGCCTCATCCTGTGATTTCGCATGGTCTGCCATGGATCCCAATGTCATTCCCCAGACGATTAAACACCAGCAGGTGCAGGAAAGAACTCTGAATGGAACAACTGCGGATCCTAAGTATTTATAGCAAGGGCATGTCCTGCCTCTCCCCCGGGCCTTTTTAAACTTTTGACCTAACAACTCCTTAATGAATTGATGCAAGCCCTCCTGCCATAGTCACATAGACAAGTAACCTCCCCTACTTTAATAGCGTGTGTCCTCCCCTCCCACTCCACAGGGACCTTCTGTTGTTATAATCCTCAGAGCTGCCATTGACAGGATGCCAGCTAACATGTACCAGGCACCTTGCTGGGTGTTTTACACATATCACAATCCTACACGAGCCCTGCAAGTAAGTAGGAGGACATCCATTCCACAGATGAGGAAACAAAGGCTTGGAGAGAGTTGAGTGGCTTATTCTGGGCAACAAAGGAATCAAGTGGGAGACCTGAGGCCTAAATCCAAGTCCATCTTGGCTTCAAACCCTGGCTCTTTCCAATAAACCATAGAAGGACAGTCTAGTACGGATTATCCGTTTGGAGCAGAAACTCAGCTGTCCTAACGAGGAAGACTTGATTCACAGGTTGGGCTAGCTACTGAGGGCAGCACATTTTGTGTCGATTGTCTGCTTTCCAGCTGCTGCCAAAGCTCAGCTAAGACTTTGTACTGACCAGTGGAGGGCAGCCGGCCTCTGTGCCTCTATGCTGTCCGCTCAATACTCCTGCATCTAGTCCAGGACCGGACCGTGGCATCCTGACCATGCCTTCCCACATGACCTTACTCCCCCTGCTTTTTATTAAAGGTTAATAGAGAAAACTGTCCCTAGAAAATAGATCTCAGCACTTCCTCATAATCAAAGATACCATGTTGCCAGGTCTATTTGTATGCTTCGTGGGAAGCCAGGCACGGGGGCACACACCTGTAACCCCAACAACTTGGGGGTCTGAGGCAGGAGAATCACAAGCTCAAGGCCAGCTTCAGCAACTTAGCAAGACTCTGCCTTAAAATAAAAAATAAAAATAAAAAGGGCTTGGGATGTAGCTCAGTGGTAGAGTGCTCCTGGGTTCAATCCGCAGTTCAATAAAATAAAGTTTGATAGGATACTTTTCTCAGTGGAGTTGAGTGCTTAAAAGAGGTTGCTTTTTTGTTTATTTTTTTTATGGTGAATTATGATTGTTCACAATAGTGGATTTCATCGTTAAAGATTTATACATGCATATAACATAAATTGATAAATTTCATTTCCCAGTGAAGAAGCTGAGAGGCTACTTTTTTAAAAATTGGTTCTCTTTAGTTATACATGACAATAGAATCCATTTTGATATAATTATTCAAGCATGAACTATATCTTATTCTCATTAGGACCCCGTTCTTATAGCTATACATGATGTTGGGATTAATTGTGTTGAATTTATAAAAACTATGTCATATTCATTCTACAATCTTTCCTTTTCCTATTCCCCTCCTTTCCCTTCATTCCCCTTAAGTCTAAACTACTGAATTTCTATTCAACCACCCCCTCTTATTATGGGTTAGCTTCCACATATCAGTGAAAACACTCGGCTTTTGGTATGTTGGGACTGGCTTATTTCCCTTAGCATGATAGTCACCAGATCCATACATTTACTGGCAAGTGTCATAAAGCCATTCCTTTTCGTGGTTGAGTAATATTCCATTGTGTGTATGTGCATTTTCTTTATCCACTCACCTATTGAAGGGCACCTGGGTTGGCTCCATAGCTTAGCTATTGTGAATTGTGCTGCTATAAACATTGATGTGACTGTGCCATTGTTGTAGACTAATTCTAAGTCCTTTGGACCTATACTGAGGAGTGGGATAACTGGGTCAAATGGTGGTTCTATTCCCAGTGTTTTGCAGAGTAGTTGCACCAATTTGCAGTCCCACCAGCAATGTATGAGTGTATCTTTTTCCCCACCTCCTCGCCAACATTTATTGTTAACTTGTATTCTTGTGTTATATAATACAATGCAAGTGAAATGCATTGTATTACGTCTGTATTAGCTCTTTTTTTTTTTTTTTTTAGAGAGAGTGTGAGAGAGAGAGAGAGAGAGAGAGAATTTCTAATATTTATTTTTTAGTTTTCGGCGGACACAACATCTTTGTATGTGGTGCTGAGGATCGAACCCAGGCCGCACGCATGCCAGGCGAGCGCGCTACTGCTTGAGCCACATCCCCAGCCCCTTAACTTGTATTCTTAATAATTGCTATTCTAACTGGAGTGAGATGAAATCTCAGTGTAGTTTTAATTTGCATTTCTCTAATTGCTAGAGATGTTGAATATTTCTTCATATATTTGTTGATCTTTTGTATTTCTTCTTTTGAGAAGTGTCTGTACAGTTCCTTTACCCATGTATTAATTGAATTATTTGTTTTTGTTTTTGTTCTTTATATATATCCTGGAAATCAACACCCTATTGAGGTGCAGGTAGCAAAGATTTTCACCCATTCTGTGGACTCTCTCTTCATGCTCTTGTTTCCTTTGCCATGAAGAAGCTTTTTAGTTTGATGCTGTCCCATTTGTTGATTATTGATTTTACACTTTAGGAGTCTTGTGAAGGAAGTCAGTTCCTAAGCCAATATGGTGTAGTGTTGGGTCTACATTTTCTTCTAGTATGCGTAGGGTTTCTGGTCTAATTTCCAGGTCTTTGATCCACTTTGACTTTTGTGCAGGGTGATAGAGGTTAAATTTTATTCTACCACATATTGACTTTCAGTTTTCCCAGCACCATTTGTTGAAGAAGCTATCTTTTCTCCAATGTATGTTTTTGGTGCCTTTCTCTAGCATGAGGCATTTGTATTTACACGGGTTTGTCTCTGTGTCTTCTATTCTGTTGGTCGATGTGTCTATTTTGGTGCCCATACCACGTCGTTTTTGTTACTATTGCTCTGCAGTATAATTTAAGATCTGGGATTGGGATGCCTCTGACTTTGCTTTTTCTCACTAAGGATTGCTTCGAGTATTCTGGGCCTCTTATTTTTCCAAATGAATTTCATGCCTGCTTTTTCTGTTTCTATGAAGACCATCATTGGAATTTTGATAGGAATTGCATTGAATCTGTACAGTGTTTTTGGTAGTATGGCCATTTTGACGATATTAATTCTGCCTTTATAAGAACATAGGAGTTATTTCCATCTTCTAAGATCTTCAATTTCTTTCTGTAGTGTTCTGTAGTTTTCATTGTAGAAGTCCTTCACCTCTTTTGTTAGATTGATTCCCAAGGTTTTGTGGGTTGTTGTTGTTGTTGTTGTTTTGTTTGTTGAAACTATTGTGAATGGGATAGTTTTCCTAATTTCTCTTTCAGCCAATTGGTCATTGGAGTAGAGGAAGACAATTGATTTCTGGGTGTTAATTTTGTATTCTGTTAATTTGCTGAATTCATTTTTGAGGTCCAGATGATTTCTGGTAGAGTTTTTTGCATCTTCTAAATATAGGACATGACCCTATTTAGAGTTTGAGTTTAGCTCAAACTAACAGAGGTGGTCTGAGCTCTTCTTTTCCTATTCATATCCCTCTAATTTTTTTCTTCTGTCCAATTGCTCTGGTGAGAGTTTCAAGGACTATGTTGAACAGATGTGGTAAAAGTGAGCATCCCTTTCTGGTTCCTGTTTTTAGAGGGAATGTTTTTAGTTTTCCATTTAGAATGATATTGGCCTTGGGTTTGT